ATTCAACAGTAAGGGCCTAACTGCCAGATGTGTTAACTCAAATATGAATGAAACTACGCGCCTACGAAAGTGCCCACAGTTCCGCATTTACACCTCTAAACCAGCATGCTCTATTCTGGGATTTCTAATTTTTACCAAAACTACCATAAGTTCATGTGTTATAAAACCACAGGCAGGCAATGGTCATTGCGTCTGCAAAATTAGACATCGTTATTGAAAATGATGCCCTATTGACAAATGACTCTGAAAAATCAGGTCTTCACGATCTCTTAAGTAACCTGTATCAAGTGTTATTTTGTGATTGGAAATAATGTGAATTATGATGTTAAACAACACCTTTACGTCAAATGATAAGCACAGTTGAAATCTTGTCAGAATTACCTGTCTCGCCTTGCATTTAGAACTGAAGACTGTCCATTCACTATGGAATGATGAGTTATTGGTGGTGATGCTTTGGAAGTGGTGGAGGAGGTAGTAGAGGAGGAATTGTTAGTAGTGAGGTCTAGCCCTCCATGTTTAATGCCATTGTCTTCCATACTGTGAACTCCAGTCACTTCTTTCCATAACTGCTGAATCTCAGCAGGACTTAAGCCAGCTATAAAATGAAAGAGAGCCCCACTAATATAACAAAATAAAGCGTTTCATATAATGAGCTCAGTGTTATTAATGGATTAATGCCAACAATAAAGCTGATGCTGTTTTTCCAGCACAATCAACGTGTAGTAAAACATAAATTCATTTTTCTTCTGTCAGAATCCAGGTAATCTAACTGTCTTCTCTTATGTTATCAACAGACAATTAGAAATGACCAACGTTAATAACATTACACTCCTTCTGAAAACATTGCTCAAGGATCAAAGAGTGAAAGCCACAAAAAACTTGCAACTACTTCTTGAAAAGAAAACAAAAAACAACCCTAAATATACTTCTGGACAAGATTCTTGTTCTCTGCTTAATCAATTTCTTGACATGGAAACATAACTCAGTGCACCCACAGTTAACTCAGGTTTTATAATTCCTCTTAATCAAACATGTAACAGAAAACAGAAAAACGTATTACACTAAGGATACAAACATTGATATTCTCTTTAAACACTTAACAAGAGCAGGGAGTGGGGGAAGAAGACTGGAGGGAGAAAAATCAGAAGACAAAAATGAAATCAATGAGATCATAACAGGTTTAACATTTGAGCAGAATGCATCTGACTTTAATTAATGACACCCACATATTCATTAGTCCTGTTTAATATTTACAAAAATTGTTCCATTTAAAAATGTGTCTTAAGAGGCAAAACCAAAGTGACTATTTGGAAGAACAAAACCACTACAGCATAGAGCTAGATACTGGTGACCGCTTAAGCTCTTCGGTACCATTCAGTGGCACCAGACAACTAGAAAGCCAAAAAAACTGGCCCGTTTACAACTCTCTCTACATAGATGAAATTACATGTAGCATAGACCATCAAATTCCTCCACTGTTTTTGTTGTCCAGCCCTACTGTGGAAAACAAATTGGCGGGTTTGGCTAGGAGAAAGGAGACTGTCTCACCAGTTTCCTGGGGTGATGGGCAGCCATACAAAATTTGAAGAGCTTCTCAAACTTCTCTGCCATATGCACAGTACTCTTCTGGAGTCTAGCCACCAGATCTTTGCAGATAGAGCTTAAATCTGCTCTCTACTCCACTTGTAGCCTGGAAACTTGTAGTTTCCAGGATTCATCCTTGGCCACAAATAGCGATGTCTCGTAGAATGTATTCATACATCTGTGCTAGGGTTGTCTGGCTCAAGTTGAGCACTTTGCATGAAGTCATGGAAACTTCCATTACAATATGCTTCTGCCTGAAGTAAAGACTCCCAAAACACAGGCAAGAGAAGAGCTGTGAGCATTCTCTTATCTTGCCACTGAACATGCAGCTAAGGTAGGAAATTCAGATTTTGAAAGATGAAGAATTCATCAGAAATATATACACCTTCTGTCACTGCCAGTCTTTATAAGTTTGACATCTCTCTTTTGAAGAACACTAAATTAAATGTAGGAAAGAATGAGAAGCGCAGAGAGCTTTTTGTGAAAGATCTGGTTTCATGGCCAGGTTTTTCAGCCTGATGTGGTTTGGGCCAGAAGTATCTTATAATCCAATTCTGTCTTCTGTATCTCATCTCAACAAGTGAAATTAGGTAAGACATGCTCATGGTATCTAGATCTGCTGGAATGCAAAACATTCAAAACGCTGATGTTGTCTGAATTAAAATTTTACTCTATTTTATGAAAGAGCTCAAATTTATTGTCCTTCAGAAAAGGATTAAAATCTATCTATTCATTCACACTTTTCTTTGAGGATAGTTTCATTTGGTAAACAAGATATATTATAAAGATGTAAAGATTGTTTTTCACTGTTTGGCAAATCTGTTTATTGGATAATATTTTACTTTGAAGACATAGGAACTGCAACTACTAAAACGGATTCAACAAAAAATTATGAAAAAGCACAGTAAGTTCCTTAATACTTCTCAATAGCTGTCTCACCGTGGCGTATACAAAGCTATTTAAAAATAGACTAGTAGTGATTTACAGAAATAATAATTTCTGGAGGTAGTGTGGAAACAAATTGGTTGGAAGGTATTCAATTTTTTTCAAATTATGAAAGGACCTCATTTTTAGACTACTATTTTGTGTCCTGCTTCTCTACCTTTGATACCAACACCCATTGGCAAACTCAGTTAATGACAAAGTGAAAAGGAGTTGATTGGAATGTAAGTCTTAAAACTGGAGTTTATATCATATTTGTACAGTGAAGAGCTAGGTTTTAAGGAAGCAAGCAAAGAAGCCAGGCTCTAATTTACTGCATTAGAGAGATGGGTAATAGGAGTGATGGTAATACTAGTTGTAATTGTTTTATGAAGGTAAGTAATTACTGCCGAGTTCATGAGGTATGTTCCAGCAACACTGCAAAAAACCCATTTTAGTGTGGTAAATAATAGTTACCCACATATGTAATCACAAATCAAAAAGAAAAGTCATGTAGTCATTTAGGTGGCATGATATACACAGTACATTATTTACTTCAGTGTCTTCCCTTCCTCCTGCTGTCGAACAAAATAAACTAATTTTGTATTGAAAAAAATAAAAACCAAGAACAAACCCACCTGTTTGACTAATCAGAGGGCAAACATATCGTTGTGTCTTGCAGCAAGAAAATTTTCATCAGAGATTATCAAACTTCGGGCCCTGGGGGAGCTGAGCAAGAGCCGCCCCAGAAGCTGGGTGAATGGATGAGGGCTGGGAGCGGCTGGAGCAATGGCCCGTCCCTCGGGCAGGGCTCTCCTGCCCCTCTGGGCAACTGCTGGGCAGCCCCTTCCTCTGCATGAAGCTACGGATGGAGCTGTGTCTCCAGGCTGCCTAGCTCACCTAGACTTTTTTAAAATCAGAAAGAAATTTCTCTCTGGGCTCAGGCTGGTTAATTTTATCACTTCTTCAGAGCACTCTGAAAGGCTGCCTTTTAGGATAAAAGGATTAAGGGCAGGCACTTAAAAAGTATAAAGTTAATAAGCGGATTTGTAATTAATTGTAAATTATGGCAATTTTGTAGTTTCTGTGTCTTAAAAAGTCCAACTCCCATTTTACAAGAGACCTGTAAAATGGCTGACAGATATTTTAGTCTGGATGTAAAAGTAGGGTAAGTTTTAAAGTTTCATAGGTTGTGATGACCCTTGAAAGACCCTCTCCACACTACATTAAAGGAGAAAGGATCGGGAAGAGGATCCGGAGTGGGATAAAAATTAGAGACTATAGTGAAAAGAGCAAATACTGATTTGCTATGCAGTTTACTAACACCAAGAATTTTGGGATTTTGAGGCTAGTTTTAGAACTCTTTTCACAACTATCTATTCTATTTTTATGTTTGAATAAATAGTTAATAAAACTACCACTTATAAAACCCATCCATGCATCTGTTTTTCATTTTCCTACATGGCCTCATCAAAACTTAGGCTTTTGGGTTTGGAGGTTTGGGGTTTTTTTTATTGTTGTCATTTACAGTCCTTTGCATTTAGCTAGAATCAATGCAGCATTACATGGAATTAACTCACAGCAAGCCACTGGCTTTGGATATGGCATAGCGACGATCTTGTCACAAAATAAATGCTAAAACACCTTCTTGTATCTTATTTGCTATACCTGACCATCAAGAAAACATGGTAAACACTCCCATCCTTTAAAGGCAGAAACTATACTTGGAGCAAACACTCCACTTTTGTGTTTATATACACAAACCTCATAGCTGTACTTGGAAGTTACGTCTTTTCATGCTAACAAATGCAAAACCCATGCTCTCTTCGTCACTAATTGTGGTTTACAGGACTCTTTATGACCAGTAACTTATAAACATGAATCCCCTTGTGTTTCTCTCATTGTTCTAGCCATCCATGTAACTCGGCAATCTAAATGGATGCATATAAAAATATGTGTTACACATACGTAAATTCTTCTGTATAACCATATTATACACCTTGCAGCACAGTGGAAGGAGAAAAACATCTTTTTACCACATCCAGAGTGTATTACCTTAAATAAATTTTGAAGGTTTAATTTAATACTGCCACAGAAAATGTCTGTCATAAAATTTGCTGAATTTTATGAGCAAAACAAAGGAAGTTTGATCCTCTTACTTTTACGCAAACCCCAATGCAGGGACATCTATGTTAAATCTAGTAAGTACGACTTGGATTTGTAAATATTGAATATATTTGGGTGTATTTGGATGTGTAAATTTAAGATTTACGAGACAGACTCAACAGATCTGAAGCCTATTATTAATCTCCATTACATTGTTATGAACTGGACTGGGTGCTGTACCTTCCTATGAAAGACACAATGTGCTGTAAGAGAAGCCCACAGAAAGAACTCCGAGCTGGTCACAACTCTGCATTTGGTTCTCTCTTTGTTTCAGCATCTTGCTAGAAAGACTTTCCTTCTTACCCTCATCACTCTAACTTTACCTCGCCTGGCACAGAGTGAGTGGCCTTTCTGGGGGTGCAGGGAGGTTTTCCAGGGGAAGCTGTCTTATGTTTTTTAAGTTTGTACATCCACATCAGGGCTATGAAAAATCGAGGCCCTATAAATTAACTTGTGTATTTAAAGGAACCCTACAAACAGGGTAGATACTAGAATTAGGAGAGAAAAATGGAAGAATTAAATACTTGACTGGAATTCATTATAATTTAAAAATACCAAGGCAGAAGCAAACAAGAGATTAATTTACTTTAAAAAGAACAATCCGGATAGATTTTAACTGTAAAATGTTGTATTTTTTTATTTCTTTAGTATCAATCTCTTTTGTCATGACTTCAGTTATGCTTAATTCTTTGAGTAAAAGAAAGTTCTTAAAAAGAACTGTTTACTAGTTCTCCTAAAAATGTATTAAAAAAGGTATTTTTTTTTCTATGTTTTTCTACTAGAAGTGGATGAATGAGTATTGCATTAAACTAATGAATATCAATGCAATTGGGTAGGAGTGGTGAGGGAGATCTGTGGGGATTGCTTAATGTGAGAGAAAACCTGAGGAATTCCTCTTGCAACAGATGGCACAAGAGGAGGCTGCAGAAGGTAAAGCTGTTCAGAGGGAGGTTGTGTTTCAATTGCTTTTTTCCTCTGGTCCAATGTGACTTTGTACAAAAGGAAACCAGCATTACCAGTCTCATGTGTCCAACATCATGAATCAGCTTGTCTCCTCACTGCTATTCTCAAATAATAGTATTTAGTGTGATAGCTTATTTAGTACTCTTTTTGGTTGTTGTAATTTTTATAACTTTAGAAATGCTTGTGTCATAGCTTTTCCACACAACACAATGTATACAATTTACACATTTATTTGTAATCTCTGTTTTCCAGGGACTGAGGTTTTTAGTAAGTAAGTCTTTCTCATGCCTTTTTTCTGTCTCTGCTTTTGCTCATTTAATTTCTGAAGCTTCGATTTCATAATAGTTACCTGGTGGAGGAACCAGATACATACGTAAAGACCAACTAAAAGTAATGTTACCTGTTATGAACACAGTCTAAACAATGCTCATTGCAGGGACTGGAGTGTCAGAGATCAGAGTGTCGTGTAATTTTTATGACAGACATTTAGCTCACCTCTCTATGGTAACACAAACAGAAACACACACCTCACAGGTTATAGACAGAGTCCTTAAGATGGGAAGTCTTTGGTCTTATCTTAAAATGTAAACAGCATTTATCTCCAAGTTAATTTACTTTTAAAAGCGCGTGCCCTATTTTCTTTCAACCATGAATGTATTTGTGTCAAGTAGTAGAGTTTGAGCTCATTTTCAGCATTGAGAAATCTTGATCAAAGTGACAAAGTGATTTTTTTTCCCCAAAAAAGTCTTTACTGTTATTTGTCAGTGATAATTCATTACTATTGGAATCACCACCTTCAAAACTTGTTGTTATAACATATTTAATACAAAGGAAAGGCAAAGAAAATGAATCTTAAGGTTTGTCGCTAAATTCACATGTCATAAGTTGAAGATTCAAAGTGCTTTTAAATGCCAAACACCTTCTTTTCTTAGAAGAAAAAAAAGTGAGTTTTGGAATGGCGTTAATATCACTGTCTGATATATTTTATATCTGTTCGCTTGTATTAAATGAAATGATAACATTTCCACTAAATCAGATTTCAGTAATTCCTCAGAGGAAAGCAATGGTGTTTGAATTGTGTTGCTATTAGAAATTGTTTTCAGCACGTAAGGCTAATAAATATGCATCTTATATCTAAGAAAAAATACTCAAGAGCTGTTTTCTTCCACAAATGTATGCTGTAAAATTTATCAGCCTCAACAAAATTAGTAATATGAGTAATAAAGTTCTAATAATAAAGTACGTTTAAGTGTCATAACGGGAAACTGCTGAAATTCAGATGCAAATGGAACAGTTAAAAAAGTTGTGAATTAGAAATGACTCCATTCATATATTACTCAAATACCTTGTGGCAGAGACTGGACAGGAAGAGCAGACTGGCCAGGCGGGATGGAAATGAGTCCCTGACGCTGAAGGTTCAGAAGATGTTGCTGCTGCTGAAGTTGTTGCATCTGGAGGAGCTGCTGCTGGAAGACAAGCTGCTGGGCTGCCAACTGCTGCTGCTGCTCCTGCTGCTGCTACGAAGAGAAAGGGGGGAAAAAAAAGGCAAATGCAGCAAAGAGTAAAGTGTGCAGTGAAGGCTAGAAAGCCAAAAATGTAAAATCAACTTCTTTCCCTTTAATCTCAGTTATTAAATAATAATGCTATTTGTAGAACACTCAGGCAGTGAAAGCGTTTGAAATTTTCTATTATATTCATTCAAGCTATTAGGTGTTAGGGAAAATGGCAAGATACACTTAATAACACACTAAAGAAAAGGGTCAAGAGAAAGTACATAACAGCTGTTTAAAAAAAAAAAAAAAAAGCCCAGCTCATGGCAGATGATAACAAATTTATCTATGCTAAAAGTGTAACTCTTTACAGCAGCCTGTGATTCGAAGGCACTCTTGTTTTTCCAGTTGACTAAGTTTGGTCCGCAGTGGCCCATGAACGTGGTCTCCAGTGATCTATTAGTAAACTGGGATGTAGCCTTCATTTCACTGGCCTGTTAGCTCTCTCTCTTTTCTTGTTGGAATATATTAAAAGGAGCATTGCATTCAAGGCAACGAAGTGCCCTATTATGGAGCAAAAGTATAAGTTCCAATTTTTGTGAGGCATTTCAAGACAAACTGAAGTCTGCAAAGGCTCAGGAGGGTATGAGAAGGCAGTCACACTTCAGAGAAAGACAAGCTGCTGTGGAAGACCTTTCCTTTCTAGTTTGGGGAAAAGAGAAACTTCTGATGCGCTCACTGGAAAACAGACTGCATAATGGAGCAAGTCATGTGGATTGCCCAGAGCCTCCGGAGAAATACAGGAGCAATTTCTATTCGTAGCTGATGGCTGTCTGAAATTCTATTCACAAATCCAAACAGAAACAAAGCCTTAGGAGGTCACAACTGCTTCCTCGACGTTTGCATAATGGGCAGCTTGAAGACAACGTCTAGGATACCTGCTGATCAATTTAACTACTTCAACATGTTTTGTTTGTATTATGTTTATATTTGATGCGGTTTGCTGACAAGTGCAAGTTAGGCCTGAGAAACCCGCTTGTCAGGTTGATTTATGAGCACATCAAACTGTAACTTTCTACTCGCCACTCCAAACCTACAGTAGCAGTTCATTAATCAGGGGCCTGTGACTTTGAAATCTGTGCTCAATCGCTCTTTTTCAGCAACAGACTAAATTTGCATGCTCTCTGAGCTGTGCCACTGAGAAAAGGAAGGCTCCTTCCCCAACACAGATTGCCTGGGAGTACAAGATAATCAGTACGGTGTCCACCACACAGCTTGTTCCTTGCACACTCGGATTCATTAGCGAACATTAGACGACAGCAGTACTAGACTGCTCAAATCCTACGTCTCAGAAAGGGGTGCAGGAGAATTATACCGGCACTGGTATTTAAGCCCGGTAAAAACATAAGAACAAATCTTTGATAGCTGCATCCTTGCTACAGGAAAAAATCTAAACTAGTCTTGTCTTTTCCAAGCTTCTGACAGCTCAGACTAGTATGCATCACAAGGGTCTTAGCTCCTACCTCTTTTGCTTGCTTTCCTGGATGCTGTTGCTGCTGCTGTTGCTGCTGCTGCTGCTGCTGTTGTTGCTGTTGCTGCTGCTGCTGTTGCTGCTGTTGTTGCTGCTGTTGTTGTTGCTGTTGCTGCTGCTGTTGCTGCTGCTGCAAAAGCTGAAGATGTAACTGCTCTTGCTGTTTCTTGTAAAACTCTTGTAGTTGTTGCTGAATAAACCATTTTGACTTTAATAAATAAAGGCAAAAGTTTCAAGTATTATAAATCTCCTAAACTCTTCTAGATTGGCATATGGTAGCGTAGCCATTAAGAATCACCTCATAACAAAAAATGTGATTTGAAGAGGCAGATCTACATACATTTTTTTCCAAGGCGGTTCTGAAATTTTCCAATGAAGATTCCAAAATATCCTAAACAGAAGGGTATAGAAAATCTGTATTCTAAAGGGAATGCAAGAGCCAAATTAACTCCTCAAATAACTATACCTAAGTTCCTCACATGTCCTATGTAACAAATCAGAAGCTGTACTCATCTACTTGCAAGAAACCTACAAGTCACTAAGGCCAAACTAAACTGTCTTTTTCTTAGGGGAAAAAAGTAATTAATCTGTCAATCTGTTTAGTGGGATGCTGGATTCACAACTGAAGGTGAATTGCCTGTAATGATCATGGTACTGGATATTAAAGTGTTTAAACATACAGTGATTGAGCTATGACTATGACAAACAGACACATCATTTTCTATATGACAGTTAAGCGCCCAACCAAAAATCCGCTCTGCATTACACTGAGGTACTGATCACTGACACTATCTTTACTGTATGAGTAACAAGTTAATGGATTCTTCACTTAGCTGCCAGATTTTGTGCTAAGGAAACAGCAACCTTCTTCTTTTTAGCCTTATCTGGGACAAATTTTTTGGATGTAAAAACAAGCAAAATAAAAAAACTTTTTCCCATGATGAAACAAGCTGTTGAGTTCAAATTTCATAACCGCATACCATTTATGTGACTAAAGGGAGCACTACAGTGTTATGAATTTTAAAGCAACAATTATCTACAACTCTATTTGCACTTCCTTTGGCAAGTCTACAATTAAAATGTGCCTAAGCACTTGAAAATTTAAATATCAATTTGTTTGGTATTTGTAATGCATCTGCCACTGCCACTGCTGCTGTTTTTAATATAATATTTAACGTTTCAAAATCACAATTTCACACTTCTGCAATTAAAACAAGAAATATAAAGACTGAGAAGTTTCATATTTATTTCCATTCTTTTTGGTGTAATGAGCGATGAAATATTACAAAGTAAGACCCATAAAATCTGGCTGACACTTGTGCGAATGCCCTGTGCTAACAGTCCAAAGCAGGTAACCCACATTACCTGCTGCAACATAACTGCTTGCTGCTGCTGAAGAAGTGCTTGAAGCTGCTGCGGAGACAACACTTGCTGCTGGAGAATCTGCTGCATTTGCTGAGGGGTGATCACCTGGGGAGTCATCATGGCCACTGACACAGGCACCTGCACAGGGAAAGAAAGATATCATCGTCAAACACATTTTAGTTTGCCTGCACCACAGCGGTACGTCTTTTTTATTTTGTACCAAAGATGGACCATAATTTTTTACATAATATTTATCACTGCGAAGTTCCAGTTTCAGTCGGAATCTGTTATTTTAAGACTACAGTACTGTGGCACTCTATTTCCAGAGGCATCAGATTCGATCAGACTCAAGCTTTATGTTTTGCATCTCTTACGTATTCCTGCAAGAAATTTAAGCGTTGGCTAGTACAAATGTGTATTTAAAAATAAATGATCACATGGCAGGGCTCTCAACACTTCATAATCAATCATCTTATCAAGTGTCATAATGTTACGAATGGAAAAATCTATTGAGACTGTTTCAAAAGATATGATTAAAACAGACAGCAAAATAAGTATCTTAAAGCAGTAAATGTTTTACACAATAAAGACACTTAGCCTAGAAAAATATTTGCGTAATACATCACTTCAGTATAAGAAAACCTTTCTTGCTCGGCTAGTCTTTTAAGGAAGTCTGATTTATACAGGAAAAAAAAAAGCTACAGAAATATCGGAGTACAGACCAAGGGCCACCACCTCAGTCACCTGGTCTCTGCAGAGAGAAACGTGTTCTCAGTCACTCCTAACTGAAAACTGAAAGTTGGGAAACTGTTGTAAGATTATTAGTTTGTCCACTAAAATTTAAGAATGCATGTTTGTGTAGGTGCTCTTCTGGGCACAGCTTTATTGCCCGTTCATTATACACTGCGATGAAGTGTGTACATATGTGTAAACACCGACCTACACACGTGCTCTCAGGAATATATGTGTGAGTGGGAAAGACACCGCAAGGATGTGTGGTTGTGTACGTAAGAGGGAAAAGTCCCGTGGAAGAGCCTGAGGTATGTGCCGAGCCGCTGCAGCAGACACACTGTGTGAAACTCCTGCTCGAGCTAACCAGGACACAGTCAGACAGCTGTCAGCAGGCCAAGTTTTCCACCCATGAAAAAGCAGCCACTCGCTTGTCTAGCGAAATTCAAATGTTTTTTCTGTATATAATAGCAAGCTGGCATATAAATACTGCTTTGTGAGATGTTTGTAGGACATTCCAGTCTTCTGTAAATCAGCAAAAATAATATTATTATTAATAAAATAAATCACGAACAAATCTTAAGAGGAAAAACTTTTCTAATATTTCTATTACTTCAATCTATCCCAAAAGACTTTGTATAAATGTAACACTTAGAGGAAAAGAGAAATACAAGTCTGCTGAAGTTTACTTTTAGAAGAAATTACTTCATCTAATATTACACAGAATACCACTTCTCACACAATTCATCACAGCATAAATGTAGGTCTTAAAACACTGGCTAATTAAGAGTCTGAAAGTAAAAGTACTTACTATTACTGAAAAGTCTGATAGTCTTTTGCAAACAACAAATTAATTTTAAGACTAAAAATTCTGAAGGTCTTACTCTAAAATACAAGTGGAAGAGACAAACCAGACTCCCACTCAGAATCAGACACTTGTAGGGGGGAATTTAATCTCAGGTATGACTGGAGTCCTATAGTCAACAGAATAAGGAAATCCCAAGGAAAGTTTATCTGATCTAATTTAGGCATCTATTTTAGCACGGGATTAATCCCTCTCTGAATGTGCCTGTCTCTCCCCTTTGAGTGTAGACTCACTTTGAGTAGACACCTAACTTTCAGATGCCAATGTTGGTTGTTACACTTTGTCACACCAAGAAGTTTTGTAGTATTGGAAACACCACATCTCTATGCAATAATGTTTTATTCTAAGCCTGTCCTACAGGCAGGACAAACAAGTTTTTACAACTTTGGGATCCATGAGCAAAGAATAAAATTCACTGACTGGAGTCAGTGTTCAATTCCCCCTGAAGTCAACAAGAATTTCCTCTGCTTACGTGAGATCTGAACTTGCCTTCTTGTAACAATTTCGCCTCGGTGATGCTATTCGACTTCCGTATGTCACACAGAAATGAGAAGGCAGAGAGGAAGATGGACACCTTCCCAGTTAAACCATTACCTTTAACCTTTAAACCCCGCAAGAATTTTCCTAACACTTATATGCTTACTACTATAATATATAGCAAATGGTGAAGGTGTTGCACACTTGCTACTCCACTTCTCCTCTTAGCTTTACATCCCTTCTATCTTCCCTGGCTTGTGTATTTGCAAACACACAAGTAAAAATTCTGACCTAAACAGAGTGAAAATCAACTTAAGTCTGTAAGTGGCACTGATTTATTCATGCTCGGTGCTAAAGACTCTAGCCAGTAAGATGTACAGTAAGACCCACGCTGCCGCAAGAGTCCTCTCTTCCTCGGTCTGAAATACAGGTTCCCCTTCAGCAGGCACATTTCTGCTAGCTTTTGTAGTGTCTGCTCTGAATCTCCCTGGCTGTGTACTTGCTCTTATATTTGGAGACACACCTGCTTTGAGGTACACTCTAAGAGCTTTTCTCTCCAAATTTGTTTTTCCCATATTTTTCAACAGTCACTTTCAACTGTATAAGCTGAAGTAGGGAACCTAATTCACCTGTTTTTTCAGGATGATGGACAAAAGCATTAAAAAAACCAGCAGTCAAGATCATTAGTAAAAATACGTATTTATGTAGATATTATTTCCTTTAACAGAATTTTATGTGAGGATCCATATGTGTGTATCATACTTGATACATATCTTCTTTCCCATAGATAAAGGACAAGGCATTTTGAAAACTGCTTGAATTTTAAATTAGCAAAACATATTAAGCAAAGAGATTTCTCTAATTGTAATTAGGTAATATAAACTGGTACATTTCACAGCCTTCAGTGATACACCAGACTGCACTTTATTTCTTACTGGCATAGTGTTACTGTGCTATCTGTGTTGGAAGACTATCAGAAACCTGCTATTTTATAGCCAGTTATGTGCATTAGGTATATTTCTTTGGTTTAGTGTCTGTGTTTTTCAAGATTTCTGATCTGAATTTACAAAAATGTAGCAAAGAGGCAAACTCTGACTCTTTTTCATAGAAATCTCTCAATGTGTCTGAAGTCAGTTCAGGTAGAGGACAGTAGAGGGACCCAGTGAAAAGATAAGATCAAGTGAACGATGCAGTTCATTGGAGCGGGCCACAAACTCCCAACAAATTCTCGGGCAGACCTCTCATGAAAAATTGAAGAGACAAAGTGAAACACGTCTGCAACCCATTTGTTACAAGATGCCCTCAAAGAAATTGAACTCCCAGCTCTGTCATGAAGATGACCGGGTACAGCAACCCTACAAAACTCGGTGGGTCAGACAGCCTCTGAAGAACATGTAAATTTGTCGACTCCATGATGGACCCTGGTGGAGGCTTCGTGTTTTGAAGAGTTTTTCATGTTTCTGATGCAGGCTGTCCCCCATTTCTTTGGATTAGCTTACAAGTCCCGCTAAATAAAACTATAGATATGCAAACAAACAAATTTTTAACACATCTAAAGAGCACTTCAGGCAAAACCAACTGTAAACTGCTTTATTACTACATGTGAATGTACTAATTAAAGAAGAGCTATGACGCAGAATGAAAAAGTTGATAGTGGAAATTAGATAGATGAACGTAGCTGCAGAAATGAAGATAGAACTTTTAAGACTAACAAACCTGTTTTTTCCCCAGATCAATTTAATAGAGAAATGGTGGAGGTCGAGCTTGTGTATTTAACACTCTTCTGTTACACATGAAAAACTCAACTTTACCTGTAAAGAAGCTTGCCAGGTAAACACTCATCTGTTCTTCCTATAAACTAACCAGGAGTCATACAAATTTGTATTTTTTTAATGTTACCTACAAAAATCATATTCCTAATGGCACAAATGGAAGGCAGCATGAGTAGCCTGCACCTTCAGTAAGCTTTTGCATTTTTTAGAAGCCTTGAAAAACTGCACACATATCTTCAAGAAACGTTGACCAATCTGACTTTGATTAAAAACAAATACAGCCAAAGGAGACACACTATTTTTATTCCGAGTTCCTTTCATTTTGAAAGTCAGGTATTGATAACGACAATTACATGCAAAACTTGACCTTAGTTTTCAGTGCGTTCGAGGAGAATCACAAGATCATATATATTAGACACATTCAGAGCCAGTTCAAGGTATGTAGAAATTATTTCTTTGTTACAGATAGAGGAAACAAGTCACAGCCTTTAAGTAATTAATCCAAGGTCACAGGATATTTTAAGTGGCAGATCTGAGAACGGAACTGTTCAGTAAGACAAGTCTCTCTCTGGTTTATTGAAAGAAATGTAATTAAACATTTAATGGAGAAACTTCCCTCTGTAGGATCCTTCTTTTAAAAATAAATGTAGGTGTGAAAACACACATTTACAGTGCAGGATCGGGCTCTTTAACAAGAAACAATTATTTTAAAAGAAGAAACTCCTGCATCCCTTCTCTTCCCACTTTGGTAATGTGTAGAGTGTCTACTGTAATAATAACCTTTTGAATCTTTCTGGTTTTACGGTATTAAAAAGAGCTGAGAATGAACTGAGTGGTATTTGTAAGCTGTTCATAACTAGCGAACAAGAATACATAATGATCCCCCTAGATGGACGATACGTACTGCCCAATTTTATACAGCTTAGATAAGGTTAGGTGCTTCTGAAGCATCTTGAAAATATAAATTATGATATTTATCAATAGAGATGATGCAAGACACATGCAACAGGAAGAATAACAAAGTAACAAAGGTATACCCATTTTGTATCATGACTCCTGTTTTCCATGTTTACAGTGGAATTTAATTTATTATTATTAATCTATCTGCATTTTAATTAATTTAATATAACAGAGTGTGCTTTGCTGTGTAATCATAGTTTATAGAACTTTATCTTTACAGCTTTTTTTTTATCGGACATTTCTCCAATTACATGTAAACATTTTAGGAAAGATTAAAGTAATTTCTATTTACAGTTAGTGCAAAACAAGCTGTCCGTACTCCTGCTGCAGTAGAG